GAGGATAGTAGAGGATAGGAAAGGTAGCAGAATACAACAGTTACTAATAGGGCATTATGTAAAAATGTGGATGTGTAACAGATGTGATTCTGCAATCTGTATTTGGGGTAAAAATGGGAGTTCATAACCAACTTGAATCTAATGTATGAAACATATGTCAAGAGCTTTGTAATGTTTTGAACAACCAATAAAAAAAAAAGACTATCCAAATTTAAAGAAAGTGACTAGGAAAGAGCTTCCAGAAGACAACAACAAAAGTTATATCCTAGCTAATTCCATTCTCCTCTATAAGAAGAAAATAAATTATAAATGTATGCTTTACATACCGTCTAGAAAATAAAGATAAAATGAATAAGAACATGGAGTATTTTTCCTGCAATGCCCAAGGGAAAGAGACAACAGATATGAAAGGTGATGATTTTATAATGAAATCAGTCAGGTGGGGCAGTACACTGCTCATAAGCTCTCACTATAGTTTGGTTGAATCACCCACCAGGAACTTCTGAGAGTGGGCATAAGGCTCCTAACAACCAGGAAGAGACCACCTCTGGAAATGAAAACGTTGGCATTTTGACTTAAGCAGCAGTCTTTGGTGAGTTTGTCTGGTATGAGTCAACTTTAAAAAATTCAATCTATTCTGGGTTTAATGAAAACATTTAGTTTCTCGACTTGCAAAGCCAAGATCCATACCCTAAACCACAGTTCTGAAATAAAAAAGATCATTTCTCTCTCCCCTGTTTTCCTTTCTCATTCTCATATGAACCCTACTATATTTCTTAATATGTGCAATATTTATTATTATCTATCAGTTGGTAATTACATAATGTACTTTTGTGTGTACATATCTACACAAAACAGAGTGAGGAAATATRAACATTTTTTGTCACTGAGGCAATCAGACATTCCACAGAGCTAAGACACAGCTCTGTGGTCTCAGTATACATTCCTATGGTCTGGTCCTAGGGTTCCCATTTTATCCAGAATTATAAGCTTGGATAATGCCTTCATAAGTTGTTTAGGGAAACACTAGGTACCTGCAGGAAATAGCATGTAGGACAATCAATGAAGGACAGTGTCATGGAAAATAACAAACATTTTCAAACCTGGGACTGAAATCTTCCCCACAGTTGGATGCTTCATTTCCATAATGAGGCCATTGTGTAGCACCTTAAAATGGAAAAACAAGAGAAAAATAATTTATAACATAAAACTACTTTCAATCTTAAGATATGTTGGTGGCTACATTGAAGGAAAATATTGTAAAATATAGAGATGTATAAATTTTCATTTGAAAATAAATATTCAAATTCAATTTCTTCTTATTATCCACCAAGTAAAACTGAAAAAGACCAGAAGATCCAAGAACTAGAAAACCACATTTGTATAAAATCTTCCCACTCTTAAAAAAATGTTATTCGCTCTTAGACATAGTGGATGATTCTTTCCAGCACGATCATCTATGTATGCTCCTTGAATATTAAAACTCAGTCTTTTCCTGCATAATTTCAATGGCAGGTGAGCCAAGGTCACTACAGCAAGGCAGGATGGGGGTCCTGAGACCAGGGGAGCCCATGGGGGTGGCAATGAATTCTTAGAAGTGTATTCAGGGAAGATGTGGGGAGCCAGCCCAGTTTGAAAGCTGAATTGGTGTCCAGGAGGCCCAGTGACTGCTGGAGATGGAAGGACACAGAAGTATAGCAGCAAAGCCAGGTGACTGGAAACCCAGAAAAAAACAAAGTTGAATTACTGGAAGCAAAATGTTTTATGATATTTCAATGCTACAAAATTGCTTTGTTTTGTTTTTTATAAACAATTGGGGGATACATGAGTATACTATGTCAAAGAACTTAATATCTAGTAATAGATCTTCAGCAAGCCACATATCAGCAATTTGCATATAAATTGTATTTGACCTATACTCTCAACCCAGTGAAGGGCTGTATGTGCATCTAAAGGATAAAAGTACTTCAGTGGCTCAATAAATTTATGGACCACAATTTCACTGCAAAGAGTAATAGTTGAAGGTATTGTGTAGCATTTTGAGCTTCAGGTAAAAGMAAGAAATGCCTATCCACATTCTTATTATAACCTCTTCACAGAGAAAAAGAAATTGGAAGACAGAAGCTAATAAAAATGTTTGTTTTGCTTTGCTTTGTTTTTTCCACTTGGAAGACTCAGTAAAAGAGGTCAAATTTCAAGGGTTTTATTCATTCTAATAATCTTTTGTTATTGTTGTTCTATGGAATAAGTTATCAATAATATAACTTCATAGATGACCTTTTTAAGCACAGAACTACAACTGTATTATGGCTCAATATTCTGATTTCCACTGTTTTCTTTGGGAATGGTCAGCACTTTGGGGGCCATGCTCTTTAAACAACCATGTCACTCTCCCTCATTGAAGATGATGCCACACACCATATGGAGATCTTTTCAAGCAATGCCTTGCCTCATTTTTGGGATCACCCAAGAGCTGGCCAGAGAAAATTCTTGCCAGTGTTAGAACTGTGCTATAATTTAATTCTGGTGTGGCTCGTTCTCAGCATCCACCCAGCACAGCCTCCTTCTGCATGACGGTGGGGGCTAAATGCCAGCGGGAGGTGCTAAATCTCAGTTCTACTGAGGACAGGAACAAAAATACCAAGCTAAATTTCACTCGAAACAATTATCTGCACACTGAATCATTCTTCTCTTCTCGTATCTCTGTTGCCCTCCTGACTACCTCTTTGTAATAACACTGCTGTGCTACTCACAAAAGACAAAAGTGAGTGTTCTTAGCTAAATTTAACTTAACTGATAGTGTTGAAATTAATTAACGCTGAATTTTAATCATGTAGCAAATGTTAAGTGTCAAACGTGAAAGGGTAGTTGGTAAAGGTCAAGGGACATATGTCAAAGTTTTGCTAAGCAAAAGCTATCTGCAGTTGATTGAAAATTTCGACRGAAGCAGTGCAAGGAACTGTACTTCCTTCTCCCCTACCCTGATTATTATCTGTATGTAATATTTTCAATATGAAACTTCAGCCTTATCAATTCTTTTGCATCAAAAACCATTCGGTTTGAAGTAAAACTATAAATTCTTCTTATGTTTGACCAAAGAAGTTGATTGCAGTTTCTCATTTGCTGTAGAATGAGCGCAACTATGAAGCGAATGAGCTGCTGCTCTGAGCTCCCATCTGCAAAAAGAACTTTTTATTCAAAGTCTGAGGTTAATAAGATTCCATAGGCTTTCTTTGTGAATCGGGTCAGATCGTGCCAGAGCACAAGTGAGGCTGTGGCAGTGCTGTCTCAGGAAACCAGTACTGTCCCTGACTAAGACTCAGAATCTTGGGAAACTCGCCAGCCTCATTTGTAGAGAAAATTCTATTCTGCTTAGTAACATTTTTGAGTATCTGAGAACCCAGGAGGTCTGTCCAAATCTCAACAAAAATCTCTCCTGCTTTATTTCAGGCACATTGTCACACCCAAACGTCACTGGAAATGGAAGGACTACCTGCTCCCACAACCTGCAAAATATTTCTTTCAGAAATATTTACCTTTCTTTTTCTTACCCAGTGAATGCTCCAATTTCCATTTTTCTGACCACTAACAATGGACCAGGGACCTGATCTTTAGGAACCTTGAAATACAAATTTTTCCTTAGGGTGAATTTCATGATTTTAGCCTCAGGGCACTCCTTGTTGCACAGATACTTCAAAATTAGGCAAGAACCTTCCCTAGAACTCTATATTGAGCTTTGTCTATTTGTCAATCAATGTCTCTGGATTATACTGTTTTCTCCTTCCTTTTTACTTCTTTTATTCTTCCAAGATCTTTCATGGTTTGGTAGCTCTTCTAAATTTCATTTCTTCTCTTCAAAATTTCAAAAGCCTATTCTTGACAAGAATAGAATTGTAGATAGTGCACTAACCTCTTTAGCAAAGTATCAGGCCTATTTAAAATAAGGACTCTCTTTCTTCCTCCAGGGTTTTACAGATTGACAGCCTAATAATAGAGTCAAATGGTAATGTATTAATGATAGGGAGAAAGAGTAAAATGTATACCTTAAAGTGATGTGGGAAATAAAAGTTTAAATAAAAGTAAAGGAGTCTTTTTATAAAGTCCTATGGCAGGAACAGCAGAAGAAAAAGTCTGTAATATAGCACTAGCAAGAAAAAAAAAGTGCCATAAACAAAAATTGATCTCTCTGTATGGACAGTGAAAATCTTTATTAAAAGCAAGCTATCTAGTTCAAGACTTATGTCTTTACACATATCATAACCAAGGTAATTCTATCAATGGCACCAGCAACAATGCACAAAAGAGAATGGACAAATCCATTCACTGTGAATAGTCATTTGACCTATTCATTCAATTCAGTAAACTCCATAACACTGTTATGCTAGGCACAATGGAAGGGGTAAGTTCATTCATCTTAGCAAAAAGATGAATGAACTTATACTAAAAGTGTCTGCAATTAGAAGAGAGTGTAGGGAATAAGAGACTTGATCCAATTTTTACAACACAATTTAAAGTCCATAATAAAGGAGCAATAACCAGTAAGGGCCAAGTAATTCACTCTGCCTATATTGGAAGGAAGTTAAATGACCTAGGTCAAGGAGGTCAGTAAAGGCCTCTTTACTGGAACAAAGATAATACCGAAATTAAATATTGAGATTAACACTACAAATAATAAATCTAATAACAGCAGCTACTGCACAACAAAACTCCTGAGAGATCAGGCATTATATTAGGAGCTATTTACAATTGTTTGATTTAATCACCTCATTAAGCAGACAAGGCAGGAATTAGTATGAACTCCACTTCTACTGAAAATGTAAAGAAAGCTTAAAGCAGTTAAGTCCTTAACTAAGATTTCACAATTAATAAGTAGCATTATAGATTAGGTATGCCTGTCCCTCAGTGCTTAGCCAGATTCCTGGCAGTTGGAGACAGTCAAAGAAATGGACAAGGATGATTTGATTTACCATGAAAATAACTAGCTGATGTGGTCACTGCTGTAAAACAAATTAGTCAATTCAGTGTGGAAAGAAAATCAGCCAAACGGATTGCTTGGCACCAGGAGGCCCAATTAGTTAATAAACTGAACTGCTCCCTTGGAGGTGGCCAAGGATCCTCTGGCACTACACATACAATTGCTGTGAAAAGAGAAGGATTTGGGCCTACAGTAGCTCAGATTTTGAAGGGGACAGACCCAGCAGGTGATGTTGGGCAAGGCACTTAAGTTCTCTGAGGTTCAGAATTCTTACCAGTTAAAGAAAGGATAATAACATCTTTTTCTAAGGAGTTTGAGGATTAAGTGAGATGACAAGTGTATAGTGCTGATCATAGGCCAAGCTCCAGGGTAAGCTCACAGGAAGGGGTGACTGCTTTCACCACTGTCAGTAGACTGGGTCAATCTCTGGATCTTCCAAGTAGCAACTGTATGGCTTTGGGGCACATTCATATATTCATGCAACAAATAGATTAAGTGATTAACAGTAATGACTTAGATTCATACAAATGTGCCAGGCATTGTAAAGAGCTGAGAAAAAACTAGGTCACCAAATAAGCAGGATCCATGCCCTCTGAAAGTTCACAGCCCTGTATGGGAGATATTTAGTTAAATGTATTTATTAGTCTGTTACATAACAATATCCATTTTGTCCTTTGCTATATGACCAGAGCATGACTGTTGTCTATCACTGTCTGATAGATGCTTAATAAATATTTATTGCATTTAAAAAAATTAAGTTGGATTAACCAGGTAAGTAGTAGGTATCTCTTTTCAGTCTCATTATTTTATAGGGGTGAAGGAAAGTCTTCTTTGTTTTAAGCTTTTAATAAATCCCTGGAGTTCTCTAGACATGAAATTGCTTTATGAATTTCCAAAATATATTCATTTTCAGAAACTTAGTTATCAAGTTCCAGTGCTGCCTTGCAAATTCCAATGTATTGATGAACAGTGTTAGTAGAAAGCATTTTTTTATCTTCCCAATTTTAAAGGAAATGTATGTAACGTTTTATCATTTACTATACATATTGTAGGCATACTTTGTTAAGAAATCCATTTTTAGTTTGATGAGAACTTTTGTTTTAGATGTGTACTTTTAGAAAATATTTTTATCCATCTACTGAAATAATCACATTTTTTCTCCATTAATATGTTAACATAAAAATTAATACAT